AAAACATGAGCTGAGCGTGACCTAAATGTACACCTCTAAGCATAACGTAAGTGTGAACTAAGCAGGTGTTACATTGGACCTCTGTATGGTTTGTCAATAAAGCAACTGATCTGTGTGACAATTTCTATTTCTACTAACTTACTTTTCGGATTCCAAGTTGAATCGACTTTTTCGCTTTTTTTCCTTTCTCTGACCAGGCTTTCAGGAATTGGCTTTGCCCTCGTCCGTCATCTCAGGCGAGTGGTAGATAAACTACAAAAGGAAAACACACAAACAAGTCACTATGTTGTTAGTAGCCTTTTAGAGTGTTGGCGGAAATTGTTGTAGCATCTTAGCGCCAAAGGTAGCGAAAGAAATGTGCGTCAAGATTTGTCGGTAATTGAAAACACTGACTCTGTAAAAAGTGCCCACGCTGCATCACGCACTGAATAGGCTAATTGTACGCGTCGGATTTTCCTTTCAAGAACTTCTGCAAACTCGCCAAACAAACAAAAACAACAAATATCGAAAAGCAGATTTTTCTTATGTGTAAGCGTTGTTCTGAGCAACTCACCAATTAACTCGATACCTGAGTAGAGAATTTTCTTCCATAAGTCACGCGAAGAAAAGCTCCCGCGTACAACTAGCGCGGACAGATCTTGGTCACTCACAACGCGAGATTGAAATCTTACTTTCAACCCTGAAAAACTTTCCTTTTTCCATTAGCTCAGGGTAGAAACTGCACCAACACTGAAGTTCCTGATTCATATAATTAAGGGTGCCGTAGGATTTCTTTAGAAATGTAAGCTTCAGAATGGAAGTGAGTAGAATCCGCACGTTTAAGTAGAACCCAGTCTACTATATCGCACCTTTTCCCTCGGAACCTTTTTTCCCCGCACTACATTTAGCCACCTGGCGGCTGGAGTGTCCTCCTTTAACTCCTGGGAGACTGGGTCCAAGGTAACGTTTGGAGGACCAACATGGAGCCAAATAATAAACCAGTATCTAAACAAACAAACAAGAACAGAAACACAAGAAAAGAAGCAGACTTCCAGACAGTAAAACAGAAGGAAAACAGAAACAGACAAGCCGTCACACGTAGACCGACCGACAGACAGACAGACAGACAGACAGGCAACTACTCAAAGAAAACATTTTATAGACACAGACAGGCAGACACAGCCACAAAACAAAGACAGATGGACAGACAGACAGATAGGCAAAGAGACAGGCAGACAGACATACAAATTAATTCCAAGCTAAGAAGGAAAATCTACAATCTACAATCTACAAGCTGATGGAACAGTAGGCACTTAATATAACATCTTTGGACATAGAACAGATTTTAATTTTTTATATGGCATATTTCCTTCTCTCTTTTATTTGTCTTG